AACGGCGAGTTATACATCTCGATCGAGATACAAATAGTACAGCGTGGCTATTATTATAGATAGTGAAAAGGTGGATCTTCGGTAATCGAGAATTAGGAATAAATATATGCATTTAACCTCTTGTCCTACAACAACGAGTGAGGCCCGCGGTGAAGATTTTCAACATGATTCAACAAATATCTATATTACTTAGTTAATTCGAATTCAAAATAAACATTATTCCTCTGTAATCAACTATTATACTTAAAAGGAAATATAGTAATAACATATGCTTAGAATTTTTCTCTTTTTCCAATAAATTATTCATGACAAAGTAGCCGTATCGATGAGAGTTGAGAAAGAAGTCATAGGTCAAGGGGTTAATGAAATATGGAAACAATACGGACAACACATAAAAAGTACAACTCAACGCCACGAAGGCCAATACACGACTCTCGCCACTCTCTTACAGACATTCTCTCCCAAAAATCATTCTCTCCCCCACAAGCATTCTTCTCACTCGCACTCATCACAAACACTCGGATGCATCCCCGGAAAGCTGGCCCTGCAGTCTCGGGTCTGTGACGTTGTGCAGGCCACTTTCACTCGACCGTTTTATAGTCCTTCACTCACACTCATTCTCACATTAACTCTTCTTAAAAATACTTTAACCTACGCTAAAAATTCTAGATACTACATAAACACTCTTCATTTGCACCCTAATCTCTCGTATGCCCTACGCTCCTATCACTTGGTTATAAACATTCTTCATTCACACCTTAATCTCTCATATACCCTACATATTTAAAGAAAAATCCGCTGTCGAGTCATTATCGCCTATAATCACTCGTTGCCAGCTACACGCTAGTCACTACCAGCCACAGAATCATCGGGAAACCTCGAAAACCCAATATGTTATTACAATAGTTACTCCACCAAGATATAGATTAATTCCTTAACACTAGAACTACCGTGCCAGTCAAAATGACTGGTTTTGATTTTTTGTTCCGCAATTATTCATATCTTGAAGGCATTGGATATTCAAAATTATCTTGAAAATCAATAGTTTTACTTACTATTGTAATGAATATCTGAAGAAACTGAAAATAATCTATTGTTACAATTTTTATGGGGATTATATATTAATCGTATTAAATACACGGTAGCTCTAGTGTTAAGAACTATTCCTGCTTTCCTTCAATTTTCCTCGAATCCTTTCTTTGTTACAGATAACCTTTTGCACTCGAAGCTTTTTCTCACTGACAGCAACTGGATGTAATTTTAATAGAGAAAGCATATTAACATATAAATAAAAGATACGAAAAGAAAAGTCATAGATATATTTTACTGTCTTTTATCGATTATAAATATTATAATATATTTAATGACAAAATGTTACAGTTTGTAATGGAAAATTTTAAATGGCTCGAAGCCCTCGAGTGCAAAGGGTTAATACAATCTGTCGGTATTTTAAATAGTTTAGTGTTTTCTGAAGCTTAAACTCTGAATAGTAGATGAAAATGGTAATTAAATGAAAAAGTATTGATTATAGGGAGTGGTATCAGATGTCATTGCTGAACGAATAAAAGATTGTAGGTATAAATAAAATATTCTCGACATCTGGAGAGCAATGGAAAGGTATATGTGGAATATACGTGCAGAAGAGGCTGAAAGAAGAAGGAAAAAATCGAGGAAATATTTTAATAAATCAATGTCGCGCTAATTATACAAGTACTCGATGCGATAACTGCTTCTGTGGAACGAACACAACAAAAGGAAGAACCGAAGGGAGACTAAAAGGTTACAAAGAGAAGCACTAAACGGTTTCCCGATAGATACAAGCGAAAGGATTTAAAGATCGGCCCCAAAGGAGAACGAAAAGATATACAGGCTCGATATCGGAACACGGCTCGTCAGCCACGAAATAGGAAAACCAAATTGGACCGCGAAGGGTTAAAGAATTCACCGGTATCTTCTCAAACGCAATCCCGTATCTCGGTGAATTCAATCTACGAGGCAATCCATTTTTATCGGGGAGACAGTGGCAGTTGTCGCGAAACACGTTAACGTTTTCGCCAGTTTGAACAGTGTACGAACTGCTTCGGATTATGCAATTTAAAGTTGCAAACTAATAAGGTTGACAAATTCGAGATTTTGAAATGCTGAAATTTTAAAATGTCGAGATTCTGAAATTTGAGATTTGAAAATCTTTGAATCTTTGAATCTTCGAACATCTGAATTTTTGGACCTTTGAACCTTTGAATCTCTGAACCTTTGAAACTCTGAATCTCTGAAGTTTTGAATCTTTGAATCTTTGAATCTTTGAATCTTTGAATCTTTGAATCTATGAATCCTTGAATCTTTGAATCTTTGAATCTTTGAATCTTTGAATCTTTG